TGACATCAAACATTAAGTCTGTTTTAATGAAAATATAATCCTGTGAAACGGTGTCAATTGACACTTTCTTTTCATAAGAATTTTCTACATTAGACTGCAATTCTTTTGAAAATTCTTTCAAAACCATTTCTTCATTTCCTACAATAACGTCTGTTTTCTCCAAACTTTTGTTCAAATTATTAGAAACTAAACTACCCTGATAACTTCGACTAGTCGGTGCTTTAATAGTCTCCTTTAACAGTTTTCTTAACTTGATTTCGTTCTGCTTCTGCATAGCGTCTAGTATGGCCCGAATACTTGGATCCACACCAGTAGCCATAGGGCTAACAGAAGATGTGTCTTCTGATTTTTTGCTCATAGTGGTTATTGTACTGTTGTTGGAGTCTGTACTAGCGAAGCTATTGCGACGAGTACGATAATATTTAAAAGAATCCAGTTCTTTACCTGAATATTCTTCTTTTCGTGACCAGTTTCAGTTTTGGTGATGACCGTAGTCCGCTTTCCATAGAAGTCGTTTTCACGCAAAGTGGGCTGATCTGCAGAGGTCCGCTGATCCCTCAATCTTCAATGATGCACGTATGCCGAAATGCGTAATTTCGTTTTCTTGAAGTTGATGGATCCTGGCACGGATCGCCAAAATGTCACGTAAAATGGATAAGTTGAACGAAGAAGATAACGTTGAACGGAGAAAGGGGTGTTGTAGAAGAACAGCAACTAGAACGAGAACAAGTACTGCCCGAGCTGGGTGAAGTCTCGGTTTATATACGTTTTGGTTTTAGGATGTTGAGGAGCTAGGTGTAGGTTATGATGTAGAAAAGTGTCCGAAGGTCGGGGGTCGATGTATTATCACTGATGTAGGTTGAGATGTGATTGATGTCACAACCTCATCGATTTCGGTATCCTTGAAATATTTTGTTGAGGTTATCGTTCTGAACAACTTTTTTCTATACATATAATGGGTTTTAGTTTTCGAGTTACACGTAAAAGTATATCTGTTTTAATATTTTAATATCTTCATAATAACTATAAAGAATGGGGAAAATAATAAAAGTTTCGGCCCAAATTTCTGAATTGCAGGAGGATTAAGCTATTTAATGTAAAAAAAGGATGAATACAGAGTTGCTTACGGATAAGTATGATGTGTGTTCTGTTAGTAAATTTGTCAAATGTACAATTTTGTATATAATATGGAAAGGAAATATATACATATATGATACGTTTGTGTTCCCACCTTTTGTATATGTACATACTTTTGTATATAACTCGAAAATTAAAACAGAGCACCTATTATACATACAGCAAAAAGTTATTCAGAACGATAATCTTGCCAACATATTTCATGGTCACCGAAATTGGTGATGAGGTAGCTTTTTGATAGGTTCACCGAAATAAAATATATGTACTTCAATTTAATTAATTATATTTAGTGAGACGAAGCACGCCTCGAATACTCAAAATTGAATAAAGAATAAAAAATTAGTACTATATAAATACTGTAATAAATACAATGAGGGAGAAATATTTTTTCTAGTTAGTGTAGATTTCACTAACATCTATATATATCAGTAAAGCGATCTGTTGTTTGATTGGGGTTAACATCGAAGGGGAAAGCAAGAATATTAGAGTAATCTTTTTTCTCGACTATATATATGTATAATTAAATTGTACGACGTCATCCGTGACGATTGTACCAGAAACTCAAGCGAAATACCTTCACATTTCCATACCTAATCATGAATATTTTGCATACAAGTTTCAACAACGTCAATGTTTTTTTGAATACTTGAGATTGATTTTCAATCAACAAGTCTTGAAGTGCAGCACATTTTATAATCATAACATATAGATGAGAAATCAATAATAAATTTTACGCAGCTTTAGGAGATTTTCATCATAGTTTGCGAAAAATGATAAGTGATGGAATTAAATGAAATTTAAAATGGAATTTCGTCAGAATTATAATTTATTAGAATTAAAAATTATGTAGAAATTCATGATAAAAAAGTTGTTAACTGTTATTATTAAACGGTGAATACACGTGCATTATGAGAAATTTGAAGATGAAAAAATTTGTAGGATACATATATACATTATACACATAATATATAATATAATATATATGATTATATTTAATAGATGAAACAGGAACATCTACACAGATTTCATTTTTCTTAATTATGTTCACGAAAATATGTATGCATATCCATCCACAAATGTAGCTATACATTTATAATATAAAGTATTATAAACTCTTACATTAATACAGAACAGGAAGATATTGTAGTAATTTCAAATAATGTATTATCAATATCTTTCTTTATTATAAAATATTGACACATCTCAAATTTCTTTTATGAATATATGTAGGAAATTCAGAACATGTTAAACCTTGAAAATTGTACTAGAAACTAAAGGAAATAGCGTAAGAAGAAATGTGATATTGTAATGAAATAAAAATTAAGACTTCGAGATCTTCAAGTTTTCAGAACTCTCAGCGATAATAATTTTTATATTGAACTAACTGTATCATAGCGATATTGATAAGACGCAAATTGTTACTCGTTTTTATTTTTATCGATGAAAAATAAACAACTGACTACTATGTAAGTAATAAGTAAATTTACAGATGTTTATATTTTTTCTTTTTAAAACAATGCTTTTTGATTTCTTTATCGAAAAAATGTGGCAGTGTTTTTGATCGATCGTAGAACACAATTCTCAAAGTGCAAACAATTAAGAAAGGGATGAAGGCTACGAAGAAAATAGAAATTCTTCTCACGTAAGAAGAGGCTTTTTCCTATGAAATCAAAGGAAATGTTACATTTCGTGCGCATTCGAGGACACCGGCAGCACCCATCGTTTAACTAAGCAATCACCATACAATTTTCTCCGGTCAATTAAGCTCACTGACGACAGAAGTGCATAACGCGCGGCGTACATCGTGAAGGAAACGCGTAGGTGCTTTCTCTTCGAGCCAGGGACTGTACTAACTGCAATCTAAGCGATAGCGCAATAACATAACACGTCTATGACGACAAAAGTCCTCTTAGCCGTGGAAAAGCGCGATCGCTATTTACGGTAATATTTGATTTCTTTTTTCTTTATGAATCTTCCTGAAGGCAACGATGGCCAAGCGTTATGTAATGCTTTTGCTGTTTTTCAATTATCGATTTATTTGTACTATTTTTATCTCTGTTTTCGGATGGAACGGTTCAGTATCGGGGTTATTCTGATGTGGACACTATCCATATCTATACGTTTGTCGTACAATGGCATCCGATCAAACAATCAACAAAGAGCGATTTGTAAAGGCATATAATACCGAGTAAAAATATTTTCTCATTTAACTATGTGTATAAATGTATACCTATTGTATTTACTATATTGCCCTAATTCTTTTCCAACTTCCATTCTGCTCCTTTTCTCTCATTATCACTATTCCTTAATATCACTAAAAATTTTTATCTTGTTGGTTACATAAACAAATATATCTAGTAAGTACAATCTCTAACAAATTAAATAAGTTTTTCAGAATTCATCATTAGTATCCTCTTGCTATCACGTCTAATCGATCCTAATCAAACCGAAATATATGCACGCTGTCAACATAGATACGTTTCGGCAAGTCCCAACGTATCCCGCATCAGATAAGGCATTCTTCGAGCGAACGTCGGATACCGGATACATGTTTATGTTATGTTGCATGAAAATTCAAATGCGTTAAAGGATATTTGTCTGATCGGTGCTGAACTGATACGTTCCATGTGCAGATAAAATAAACCGATCTTAAGTCGAAAATCAACTGAGTAAAATATCTTCATTTAAGGCCTCGTTTTGTAGAAAATACAGTTTTAAACATGTTCACTCAGGAATTACTATGGGTACTTGACAAATTTTCAAACCCGATTTTCTCTTAAACGAAACTTTGGATGAAATTACAAACTTATATTACATAAACTTAGGTTGCTTTTGTAAAGAAAAGTATATCTAAGTTTGAAGCATTCATTCATTTTCCAAGTGTTTTAATAAAAATTGTACTATTTATTTTACCGGCAATTAACAATTCCGTTGCGTAAAGATGCTATTGTGACATATTGGTCGCCTAATAATGATAAGACGATAAAAACAGATATTTATTTTACAAATACAGATTTCTTCTGTTGAATGAAATTTTTTAAAAATAACTATCTCATACTTAAAGAAGATAATTATAAATTAAAAGATGTGACAATTACTTCTGGCCCTTTAAGTAAATTTTTTTATTTGTAATCGAACAAAGTATCTTATATAACTGAAATTAGTAAATTAAAGTAAGACATTTTCTATTCAAATAATAATCATATTCAATAAATACACATGATTCTGAAAAATTGCACAACAAAACACATGTGGACCATTCACTTTGAAAGTAGCGCAAGTCCATTTTCCTTTATTTAGAGATATTGAAGTGTTCGAGTTTCCGTCGATTGAATAATCCTGATAAGGTCTACTTAGCTTATCCATGTTCGTATAATGTGTTTGAGTGGATGTGAATTCATTGTATAAACAGTATTTTCGAGAATTAACTAGACCAATATCGCTTTTCATGGTAACGAATGGATTTACACACCACTTTCAAAATTAGTGAATTATCACTTTCAAAATAAATTTCTATGCAACTTCATCTATTATCGAAATTTTAATTGATTAGAACAAGAAACTATTTTAAGATTTTAATTGTAAATTGCTTATAAATAAAAAGTTCATACTAAAGTATATGCGAATTTCTCGTTTTCTCGATTTTTTCAAAAAATGGGCTTACACAGAGTAATAATTATTATATATAAATAATAATTCCAAAATAAACGATCCATTTGAAATCGATAAAATAGGCAGGACTCTAATACATATCAAATATTAAAGATAATAATATGAAGTAACATATATGTCGGAGATGAAAGAACACCGGAGTCTGTAATTGAACAATTGTAGTTATTCAATCCGATTGTAATTGTTCGAGAGTTGTGATAATGAGCTTGGGCTCGAGGCGACAGTCAGTCGCCGAACGTAGCCGCGGTCACGGGATGAACGCTTTGTCTAACAAAGGTATGGAGTAATTCTATAGCTCTCCTTAAAAGAAATATTCGTGGCGACACGCGACAGTAA